GTGAAGTGTGGATATAGCTTATATGCTTATCTGTGAATGTGGGATATTGTTGTTATACATATCTGTTGAGATGATGATAGAGCTAATATGCTTATCTGTTGAAAAAGGGAAAATGAAAGGTAACTTGGACTCATAAGTCGTATGACATAAAATGTGATTTATGTGGATGTATCAGTGTTGGCCATCTATCAATTGCTAATCTTTTAGTCATTGTTCATATTTGGTTTAGTATGTTTCTACTGGGCTGTGGCTCACCCTATATGGGAATATCATTTTCAGGTACAGGTAGCATGCCACCTCCAAGGACGTAGCTTGGGAGGCTAGAGGCGGACACACTTTTGTTGTCTTATTTTTGATGTATTACATGTAAATTCAAGCCAAGGGCTTAATGTGTAAACGAGTTAGTATTCTTTTGTTGTAACCAAGTGTTAACTTGGAAAGCTGTAAGCCTTTAGGGCATTTGCTTTTGTCGTTAACATGTAATACTTTTGTAATGAAACTCTGTTAAATGGAAGAATGTGGAACTTTTACATATAAATGCATGTCTTTATTGATGGGTTTAATGTTATTATTTTGAGGGCGTTACATTCAATCTGTGAACTATGTTTCTTTTTCTTTTTCTTTTTCAATGTTCAATTAGGCCTATAGTATTTGGGCTTTTTTTTTTAATATATATTTTAAAAGCCAAAATTTGGGAGCCTAAGGCGCAGGCCTTTCTTACATGCCCTCAAAGTAGGACCTGGTTGGAGCCCTATTCAAAGGTTGCAATCTCCATACAAGCTATATTTCTATTTTGATTTTGAATTTTTTACTTTATTATTCAGATTTGTTTAATTATTTTAAAATTGTTAATAAGTTTACTAAGACACTCATTAATAATTGGATTTTCATTAACAACTTCTATAAAATATTCTTCGATTCTCTACATCTACAAAATGAAATAAATGTAAAGTCATCAGTTGAAGTCTACGTCAGTTCTATGCTGCTTCTCCAACTGCATAAGCAATTCAAAGGTCGCAATCTCCATAAAAGCTATATTAAACGACCAATTGTCTAGTTGATTAAATTAATACTATAAAAACCATGTGTTTTTGGTGAATAATAAAAACCATATGTTGATAAAATATGCCAAGACAAACAATTAACACAAATAATATGTAATTTTGAAGATCAAATTGACACAAATAATATTTTTTATGGACTAAAAGTGTATATTTCTTAAAGTAAATTTTCACATTAATGACACATGTCAAATATTTTTTTAACTAAATATATTATTTTTTAAAGTAATTTTTCACATTTATTCATAATTTTAATGGCATCTACTGAGTGAGTTAGATTGAGAGACCAAATTGAAACACATTTTACACATTAAAAACTAAATTAATACAATTTCAACATTAGGAATCAAAATATCACAAAACTCTTATTTTGGAGATTAAATATATGATTAACTCTGTTTATTTTGTTTTCAATGTAATAGAATGCTCCTTATGTGCTTATGTGTGTCGTGTCAATTCATTACGGAACGTTCAATGTACACTAGTAGTGTTTGGATCATTGAAATAAAATTCGTGAATACTAATAATTTAAACTTAAAAATAAACAATTTCATGGAATAACCAATCTATTTGAATAAACTAAACAAAACATTAGCATTTGAGATCTTTTGGAGTTAAGAAACAGGTCAGAGATGGAGAAAACCCACTACGCTTGCTAATTACAACTATCTTTGTAGAGGTGGCACAGACAAGATATTTTCTGTTCAAATCAACTCATTATTCCTTAACTATGGAAAGGCAAATTAAACCATAAAGCAAGACTAGAAATCTAGATTCAGAATATTAGAAACGCAAGACCAGAGGTCTCTGAGCCCAGGAATTAAGGGTCTAGACGATCAGGACCATGGCACACAGGATGCGCGCTCACAAGAGTCAGACTTAGTCAAAATGCGTGTTTTTAAAATAATGGCCCAACTAAGAGCATCTCCAACGGTTTAGTATTTTTTTCACCAAATTTGAGTAAAAAATTGCTCATTTTTTTCAATCTGATATCAGTTGCTTCAATGGTGCATCAAAAAAAGAATCATCCCGTGGGTCGACCGGTTGGTCGACCGGTAAGGCAATTTTTTTTTTTTTTTTTGAACTGTTTGAACTTACCAATTTTTGAACCATTTGCATGAGCTAGTCGACCGGTTGGTCAACCAGGGGGTCGACCACCATGTCTAAAATCTTGACAAATTTCAGCTTTAGCGGCTATGCACAGTGCATTGGTGAAAGGAGCAACCTGCTCTCATTTTGATGAATTATTTGTTGAATTCTCATTTTGATACTTGTTTGCTGAAACCATTGGAGCACCAAAAAGTGACTTTTTCACTAAAATTTAAATCTGATACCAAGTTTGATGAAGCATTGGAGACGGTTGGTCAACCAGGGGGTCGACCACCATGTCTAAAATCTTGACAAATTTCTGCTTTAGCGGCTATACACAGTGCATTGGTGAAAGGAGCAACCTGCTCTCATTTTGATGAATTATTTGTTGAATTCTCATTTTGATACTTGTTTGCTGAAACCATTGGAGCACCAAAAAGTAACTTTTTCACTAAAATTTAAATCTGATACCAAGTTTGATGAAGCGTTGGAGATGGTCTAACTCCTTGATAATTGCACCAATCTGGTGAGCAATGCCTAAAGAAAAGGGGTTGACATGAAGAGTGGGAGGAGGCCTACAATTAGTGGGACCAGAATATAAATAAAAAAATTTAACAAAGGCTAAGTTACACACTGTAAGAGGAGCTAATTTAAGCCCACTAAATTATTTAGGCCCAATAGCCCAAGATTAGTGGGCCCGAATTCATCGCAAGTCCAAGGTTGGTAGGCTTGGATTTATCGCCGTCAAACGGGCTGAATGGCTCTAAGCCTCGACGAATTTTCCAACTCCTTTCTTGAACCCTCTCCTACACACACAATTAAATATACTTCATATACTTCATAAAACTCTCACATTTTTGCCCCTTTGTCGACTGTTTTGTTGACTTAGGTATTGGAGAGTTCCCAAGCAACTCCCCAACAACTTCTTTATCTTTTTGTGAGTGTATTTTCGGGTCTCAAGCAGTTATGTCCTCACCGAAGCACCACCACTGCCAAGTGCTACAATTTTACCCATCACATTAACCATAAAACATTGTTTGTTATATTAAATGCAAAAATAAACTTTTTTTGTTATTGTTTTTTTTTTCTTTTTTTGCAAAAAATAAAATGTTGTTTGATTAGTAAGTATACAACAAAAGTGTCGCAATCACATCATTGACATGAATTCTAAGGTGCCGTTTGGTAACACTTTACATTTTCAGTTTTCTGTTTATATTTATAAAAATTTAAAAAACCCAAATAAAAACTTGTTTGGTAAATTTTTGATTTATAAATCAATGGTTTCAGTTTATAAATTTGGCCAAAAAATATAAACTCAAAAATGAGTTTACGTTTTGAGTTTTGAGTTTTTTTTTTTTTACCACCCGACACTAGCCACCACCCGTCACCATTTTCCACCACCGTCTTCCGCCACCACCACCCACCACGTGATGAATCGACAACTAGCCACGATGCCGACTTGAAATAGATTACTTGGGTGTCGTTTGATAACACTTACGTTTTTAGTTTTTTGTTTGTATTTACAAAAATTTAAAAAACTCAAATAAAAACTTGTTTGGTAAAATTATTTATTTATAAATCAGTGGTCTCAGTTTATAAATTTGGCCAAAAAATTAAAACACAAAAAATGTGTTTCCGTTTTGAATTTTCAGTTTTTTTTACCACCCAACACTAGCCACCATCCGTCACCATTTTCCACCATCAGTCACCATTTTCCACCACCGTCTTCCGCCACCACCACCCCCCCCCCCACCACTTCCACCACTTTCCACCACCGTTTTTTGCCACCATCACCTACCACCTGCCACTATTTTCCACCGCTGTCTTCCGCCACTGCCCCCCGTCATCATTTTCCACCATCGTCTTCCTCCGCCACCACTCATCACCACCTGCCACCACTTGCCATTTCTTACTATTTTTTATATTTTTAAATTTTTTTAAACATTTTGTCTAAATCAAACGCGTTTGTAATTTATATTTTTTTTAAAAATAAATAAAAAATAAACAAAAATTAATTTATAAAATTTTTATAAATATAAACTGAAAACGTGACGCCCTAAATATTTGACTTTCATATTTTGCCAAACAATAGCTGCATGGATCATTGGACAATTCCATATCCCATATTTTTGTCATTTATTGACACGGTTGCTGAAAAAGACATTTTTTTTTGTTAAGGAGTGTACATTGGCTTGGTCTCGTTTTAAAGTGAATTAGGACCCGAACTGTAGGAATCGGCTTTAGAAAAATTAGAGTAGTAATTGAACTTTTAAATTGTGGAAACAGATCAAAATTGAACCATAGAAACTAATTTAGTTCGATTTGATTTTATAGTTTTAAAAATTTTATGGTTTCAAAAAAATTAGAGTAGTAATTAAACTTTTAAATTGTGGAATCGGATCAAAATTGAACCATAGAAACCAATTTGGTTCGATTCGATTTTACAATTCTAAAATTTTTATATAATAACAAGTATAATATATATTTTATATTAATACACACATTAACCATAACCAATTTCATAATGAAAGTTAGTGTTGAAAGACTTTTTATATTTTAAATGTTACATATCAAAATGTTAAAAAAATAATAATAAACAAATATGCCCTGGTTCAACTTGAATCGGAACATAACCAAAACATTAAAATCGAGAACCGAACCGATTTGAATGATTCTATCATTTTTAAAATTAGAATCAAAATTAATAAAAAGAAGACCCGATTAGTTCGATTTATCAATTCTACTTATTTTTTTGTACACCTCTATTTTTTGTGGTAACAATAACGATTTTGGCATCGTTATTTGAAATATTTATAGACATGTTTTGGTAACTCAAAATTTTAGCAAAAAAAATCACAAAGTTACTTTAAAAAAAATATTCCTTTTATTTTATACAACTTTTCATAAAAATCTAAAAGATTACTAGAACTCTCAATTCTCAAAGCAAAGCACAGTTCTATCACATGTTCCATAATTGGAAACCAGGTTTACGAAGACTGAACTAGAATCAAACATTCGATCCTTTGACCTCACAACCTTTTATTTTCAAAACTACACTTCAATTTGCAAACAAGATTAAGAATGAGTCATGTTCACATCTTCATCAATCTTATGTCCTCGATCAAACGCTCCAAATTACAGGACGACGACCCCCCTTCACTAACACTCTCTCTAGCCAATTTCGCTATTCGATCTGCCGATACCACAAACTCATCCCTCCTCAGATCCATAACATCCTTGATCATCTTCTCGATCACCGCTCGATCACAAGTATCTTTCATGTCGATCCCAAGCTTCCATACCTCACTTACAAACCTACTATTCACTTGTTGGTCCACAAAGTAAGGCCAACAAACCATTGGCACACCCTCCACCATACTCTCTAAAGTCGAGTTCCACCCACTGTGAGTCAAAAATCCACCAATAGCTGGGTGAGCCAACACCTCCTCCTGCGGTGCCCAACTCACTAACCACCCTCTCTCCGCCGTAGCCTCCAAGACCTCCTTCGGAATCTGACCCTCCCAGTCGCCACCGGGTATCGAATTAGGCCGTCTGACCCACAAGAATCGATGCCCGCTATTTACCAAACCGTGCCAAAACTCCATCACTTGGTCACTTGTCATCATGGCGAGGCTTCCGATGCTAACGTAGATCACGGATTTGGGTGGCTGCGCGTCGAGCCACTTCAAGCAGCATCTATCTTCCTGCCATAGACCGCTTGAGGAGGCCTGTTGTGGTCCTGGTGGTGTTGGTTCGGTTGCCAATTTCATTTTGAGGTGGGTGTGGAGTGGGCCGATGGGATAGAGTTTTGGGCAGAGAGATCGCATGTGAGAGAGTACAGGTTCGTCTACCTCTTCGAACGTGTTGAGTATGAGTCCACGGGCTCGTGGAACTTGTTGAACTTCCTTCATAATGATTTTGGTGACAGGGTCATTCAGATCTCCGACACGACAGAAGTTTGGTAGGTCACGGCGGCGAAGAAAGCCCTCCATGCCTGGAACACACTTAATTGGTGCATCCAAATCATCACCTATGCGAACAAAAATTGTGAAAAATAAAATAAAATAAAAAATCAATCAAGAAAATCAGTCAGTATAGGGAGATATGCTCAAATTGGGGGTTGCCCACTTCCATTTTTGTAGAAACCGACAGATTTTCAAAATTCCTAACATTTCTCTTCCTATAATTATCAACGTGTATTATCACTCAAGTTGAGTTAGAAATTTTACATTTTTTAGAAAGAATTTATGTATGAAAGTTAAAACAGTGCAAGAACACTCCCATCATTTTCTCAGGAGCAATATTAGGACTCGAAAAAAATTATCAAAAATTTTATACAATATTATTTAAGTAGGCACCAGGTAGATATTGTATAGAATTTTTGAAATCTCTTTTTCTCAGTGACCAAACAGTTTAAAAGTGAAAAACTCTATAACCCACCTTGGAAAGGAAGCTCGCCAGCATCAATGAGTTTCCGGACGCAGAAGTAAGTCCAAAGACCGCAAGGACTAATAGTATCAAAATACATCAGAGGAATTCCAACTTCTTCAGCAATTTCAAAGCTGAAATTCAAAACCCCATCTGCAATAATACAAGTCACCGGCCTCCCTATCCCAGAACTCAACATCTCCTTAAAAAGTGGTTTTGTTACAGTCTCCAAAGAATCAAACAAGTCCATGAATCCGTCTCCAGATCTCGGGTGGTCTTCGGGGAGGCCATCGGAGATGGTTTCGAAGCGGAATTGAGGGAAGGTTGCGAAGCGGGATTGGATGTCCGTGTAGAGGAGAAGACGGCGGTGGTTGTGGTCGGTGTTGAGGAAGGTGACGTGGAGATCGGGGGCGAGGCAGAGAAGCTCGGCTAGCTTGAGCATGCATTTGATGGGCCCTTGGACTGGTAAGGGGAAGATAAGTACATGAGGTGAGGCTGAACTTTGTTCCATCGAATTGGGTTTTGTAATTTTCTGAGATTTGGTTCAAAACTCAGATCGAGACTTGTCTGGTGCGATTGAGAGAGACTTTTAGCTTTCCAAATGTAACCAGGTTCGAATCTATACTATATATATTAAGTAAAAAAAAAAATTTAACCTCAAATTTTGTGGGAGTTTCAATCTCTCAATCTAAATTTTTTAATTTTTTAATTTTAACAAAAAAATTTTAGTATTTATTAACTTTTCACAACCCCCAAGTCTTATCCTCATAATAACACTTTAATGCATTAAGAACAAGTATAAAAAAAAAATTTTGAAATCCAACATACATAAATTCTTTAAAAAGTCCCAACACATGTGATTATTATCCCTCATAATAACACTTTAATGCATTAAGAACATGCATAAAAAAATTTTCTTGAAAAGTCTAACACATCTATACTATATATTAAGGTTTTTAACCCCAAGTCTTGTGGGAGTTCCAATCTCTCAATCTAAATTTCTTGATTTTTTGATTTAAAAAAAAAAAACCTTAGCATTTATTAATTTCTCACAACCCCCAAGTCTTATTCTCATAATAACACTTTAATGCATTAAGAACAAGCATAAATTTTTTTTTTTTGAAATACAACACATATGAATTCCTTGAAAAGTCCCAACACATGTGATTATTATCCCTCATAATAACACTTTAATGCATTAAGAACAAGCATAAAAAAAATTCATTAAAATATTAAAATAAAAAAATCAATGATAATATGCTAGGTGTATTTTTATAATTTTTTAAATAAGACATTTATGAAAATCGAATTAGAATTTTAAGACTCAATGAACCAAACAACATTTTTATTTAGGGATTGTTAGGGGTGTCTTAAATAAGTGTACTTTTTGTCTTTTTAGATTAAAAAATTGAGGAAAACAAATATGGATGTTTGGGTTAACTTTTTGACTTTTTATTGGAAAATGTGTAATAAAAAATTGTAAAAATTGATTTGTAGTGAAAAATTTGAATTGGGAGTTGTGCAGCCGTAATTTTTGACTTTTGATGAATAGTGTTAACTTTTTAACTTTTTAAGTAACTTTTTGTCTTTTTATCTTTTTTGAAAGATCCCAAACTTGCCCTAAGTCGGGACCTGTTACTGCGTATTCTGATTAAGGGCTAGTTTGGCATGTACTAAATAAGTCAAAAAGTCAAAAAGTCACTATCTTATTTAAGTCACATCATCTTATTTAAATCACATCACCTCTCTAACACATCACATCAAACCCAACCCAAACCCAACCCAAACCCACTAATAAGTAAAAAAATGCACTTTTTTAAGACATCCCAAACCAATCCTAAATTTAGTCATCAACTAATTATATTGGGTTTAGAGTACACAGGTACTTTGATATTCTCACCGCACATACTTTTGTACTGTTAAAAAAAAAAATCACAAAGGACTCTTTCAACATGTTACGTATTCTTCTAATTAAAAAAAAAAAATTTATGTTAGGCATTTTTTTCTTGTGTTAATAAAATTAAAAAAAAAGCATGAAGAGAAAGACCTACTCTAACCGGAAGACTTCCAATCGATCTCCATCTAAGTGCTGCTAACTTTAGTTCAACGGAAATCTCTATTAATCAAAAAACAAAAATTTGATTTACATGGAGAAAAATAACCGACATAATTCACAACTCTAAAATATAAAAACCCACTCTACTCTATCCATGACTCTATCCCTCTATCCATGACTTTACCATTAATTAATTTCAAATATTAATTAAATAAATATTTTTAAATTAGGTAGGTCAAATTATTTGGTGGTGTACTAAAAGGCACTGAATTTGCGGATTCTAAGTGTTCTCATTTGTTTTTGACAAAAGTCCACTCTTTTATGGTTAGTTAAAAATTATTTGTAAGTCTTATTAGAGAGATTTATTTAATATAAAGTTTTGTGTAATTTTTTATAAAATTTTAAATTCTATTTAAATTAGAAAGTGTTTCACAAGATCCAATAAATTGTGATTAAATGGTATTAGTATACTATTATACCCTTTATATATGTTTCCATATTATAAGTTATTTGCCCTATTAAGGTTTGGAGACTTTTAGAAAAGTTTATTGTGTAGGCTTCGTCTGTTGCTGTGAATTGTGCCATGATCGCGGAGGCTGGTAGATTTTGAAAATGTTATTGGTTTGGATGGTTTTGTTGTTTGATCTTGCTGATCTGGACTCAAAGTGCTTGAGAGAAGGTGATAAAATTGTTTGCTTCTTCAATTGGTGAGTGTTGCTGTGTGTTTGCCGATTGTTTTGTTTTCAATGTCATCTTATATGATATGGATTTCACAATCTAGTATAGCCATCCATTGGCACACTTTCATTAGCCTCCATTGAAGTTACATTTAGGTTGTAATGGTAATCATGTATCTACAATATTGTTATGTCTTCTCTGTGTTACGTTCAGTTGTATTTGTCTTTGAACTTGTGTGGTAACTTCAAATATTAATTAAATAAATATTTTTAAATTAGGTAGGTCAAATTATTTGGTGGTGTACTAAAAGGCACTGAATTTGCGGATTCTAAGCGTTCTCATTTGTTTTTGACAAAAGTCCACTCTTTTATGGTTAGGTCAAGTTTGACAACTCTTAAAAAATTTAAAAAGTCAAAAAGTCACTATCTTATTTAAATCACATCATCTTATTTAAGTCACATCACCTCTCTAACACATCACTTCAAACCCAACCCAAACCCAACCCATATTTCATAAAAAGTCAAAAAGTGCACTTATTTAGTCTTCCCAAACTTGGCGTTAGTTAAAAATTATTTGTAAGTCTTATTAGAGAGATTTATTTAATATAAAGTTTTGTGTAATTTTTTATAGAATTTTAAATTCTATTTAAATTAGAAAGTGTTCCACAAGATCTAATAAATTGTGATTAAATGGTATTAGTATACTATTATACCCTTTATATATGTTTCCATATTATAAGTTATTTGCCCTATTAAGGTTTGAAGACTTTTAGAAAAGTTTATTGTGTAGGCTTCGTCTGTTGCCGTGAATTGTGCCATGATCGCGGAGGCTGGTAGATTTTGAAAATGTTATTGGTTTGGATGGTTTTGTTGTTTGATCTTGCCGATCTGGACTCAAAGTGTTTGAGAGAAGGTGATAAAATTGTTTGCTTCTTCAATTGGTGAGTGTTATTGTGTGTTTGCCGATTGTTTTGTTTTCAATGTCATCTTATATGATATGGATTTCACAATCTAGTATAGCCATCCATTGGCACACTTTCATTAGCCTCCATTGAAGTTACATTTAGGTTGTAATGGTAATCACGTATCTACAATGTTGTTATATCTTCTTTGTGTTACGTTCAGTTGTATTTGTCTTTGAACTTGTGTGGTAACGTTATTGTATTCATTGTTTACATACATGTCACATTACGTTTCGTAAAAGTATATTACGTTCGGTTATTAAGTTTTATTTTAATGTAAAAATGTTGCTGGGTTGTGCAAAATGGTACAGCCATACATTGGTACACTTCCATTAGCCTCAAAGGACATTACATTTAAGTTGTAATGTTAAACCACATCTGCAATGTTGTCATTTTTTGGTGTGTGTTACGTTCGTTTGTACTTAATTTGTGTTGTGCAATTGTTGTATTTATTGTGGACATATGTGCCACATTACGTTTCGCAAACTTATTGGGTTTCTATTTTTTCCATTTGAATGTGACAATGTTGCTTGTTCGTGAAAAGTATTGAAATGTATGTGAATGTAACTCACATACACATGGATATGATCTATGGTAACATTCAATTTCGTATACATAGTTTTGGCTTTCAATTTCCTGTACACATAGATATGATCATGGTTTTGGCATTATTTATGATATTAATTTGTGTTGTCCCATTGTTGTATTTAGTGTGGACATATGTGTCACATTACATTTCGCAAACTTATTGGGTTTCTAATTTTTCCAATTGAATGTGACAATGTTGCTTGTTCATGGAAAGTATTGGAATGTATGTGATTGTTACTCTTACTTTTCATTATATATTATTCAATTTAGATTTATATTATTTAGCTGTAAAATTTATTATGATGGATTGTAATTGAATGTGGGTTGAACCTTGTAGTATGATGTTGACGTTACTGCGCTCACATTTGATTATATATCACATATCTTACATGCCTTGTTTTTTTGATTTTTGGCCGAATGTAGTAACACGGTTAATGTTTCATTTATTTTGTTGCACAGGATATGGACATCATGCTATTGTGCACTTCGGTTCATCCACTGTTGCTGTCAAAGGCGTTAATGGATTGACATTCACACAATTGGTTGAAAATTTATGTGACAGGTGGGGGGATGTGACACCATCATTGATTTTCATATCTTACAAACTACCTTGTCACGAGAACCAATTCATGATGAGTACTAATGTGGACATGGAAAACATGTTTTCCCTTGCAAGATCCTTTGGCGTTACCCATATCAACGTTGCGGTTGACTCGCAAAATGAGGTGGCTGATTTGATTCGAGGTAAGCAATATGGTGGGACTATCTCCGCAAGTCAAATGGATCCTAACATTGAACAATTTTCAGGTGCCGAAACGGACGTAGATTTGTTGCCCAATTATCGTCGCCATAGTGAGAAAACGTTGATGACAGTTGATTGGTCACATGGTGTTAGTCACGTAGGCCAATGTTTCAAAGGGGGTGTTGCCGCATTCCATTTGGTTCTATCCAAATATGTTGTTGAGTGTGGGTTTGATTTCAAATTCGTGAAAAACAGTTCAGTGCGGGTCAGGGCTGTGTACACGTTGCGAGAGCAAGAACGGTGTACCTGGCTGATACATAGAAGGGTTCAAACATGCAATGGGTACTTTTACTTGAAGAGGTTGAACAACTTGCATAATTGTGGTGTTGTTGTTCGCACTGGGAAGAATAGTAGACTCAACTCTGAATTGGTTTGCAGTATTTTTGGTGATCGGGTAAGTGACAAGCCCCTTACACGTTCCACTCGTGTTTGACCTAGAAAAGGAGTACGAACTAACTGTTAGTTACCACATAACTTGGTTAGGTGTGAAGAAGGCAAGAGGAAAAGTGCATGCTGAC